GAAGTTAATTGTAAATCAGCATGCACCCCACGTTTTTAGTTTTAAATCTTACAAAAGTATTTATTCTCTCAAAATTTTATAAATTATTTTATACTTTTTAGTGCGTTTAAAAACGTGGCATTTTTAAAAAGTATTTTTATTTATAAATTATTAAATCTTAAGATCCAGCGCAACGCAAAATGGTAAATAAAACGATATTTTGATAAAGGGCTTCAAAAGTTTGACCCTTAAGCATTTGATTTATTTCCAGACAGTGACTTAAATGGTTGACCAACTTTCACTTTCACAGACAGTAACAGCTAACGGCGCATGCATGAGCACAGAGCGGGGGTATTTAAAATGTTTAATTGTTTTATGTATTTATTCGTGTTCGTACTGTGTTTATCTTCTGACGATTTTAACAACTGATCAACTCTACATTATGTACCTGAAGCTGACGATGGTGTTTTAACACCGAAACATGTCCTGAATAGACATATTTTATTGAACTGTGACGGGAATTAAGTAAGTAATTTAGTCTCACACTTTACGAATCTATTTAAATAAAATTAGAGTTTTGTCTGTACATTGCTCAGAATTATGATCTTTTTTGGTTATTTTTAGTTTTATGCATTGAAGAAGCCGAAACAAGTCTTATCTCAATTTCTGCCCGTCTGTCTGTCTGTAACGGCCCAGAAGGCATTTACGCGAACTTCTCCTAAAAAACGAGATAAGATCCATGCATCCATCGGGATTCGATTCAAATTGTCTTTTTGGATTCATTGGATTGGCAAGAATGGCTTTAGCAAATAAAATATGGCCTCACTTTTGAATTAAAATTAAAATAACGGACGTTCAAAACCTCAATTATGTGCAATTTTGTAAAGTTTTCCCCTAATGTTTACCGCATACGTCATTTATGACATACTAATAATCTGTTTGAAAAATAAGACATATATGATATAACGAACAGCTGTTTGGATGAAGATGATTTTTTTCTAGCTGCCACCGGGATATGTTTACATTAAATGTTGAAAATATTTGACGTATGTCGTCGTTAGCTGTATGTGAAAGTGAAAGTTGGTCAACCATTTAAGTCACTGTCTGGAAATATATCAAATGCTTAAGGGTCAAATTTTTGAAGCCCTTTATCGAAATATCGTTTTAATTACCATTTTGCGTTGCGCTGGATCTTAAGATTTAAAATTACACCTCAATCATTAAAATCGGAAAAGTTGTTCGGGTGAAAAAGGGCTGTTAAAGCTTATTTAATTAGGAAGATAGATAATGTGAATCAAGACAATGACATATCACATGCTTAATACTAGATAATAGAGGGTAATGATTAACCGAAGAGCCGTTGATTTACATAAAGCAATTAATAAAATCAATTACAACAATGAATATTGGCCGATACGTGGCAGAGCTGACCACGGGGGGTAGATTTCCGGGGGTAGATGTCCGGGGGTAGATGTCCGTTGGTAGATTTCCAGTCGCGGGCAGTTTCTTGACCGCGTATAGGCCCCGCCCTTCGTGACGTCAAAATGACGTAGGCGTTTTTTCATGGGGGTAAATATCCGGGGGTAGAAATCCGCTAGAGTAGTTCCTATCTATAAGAAAGGAAACCACAATGTTCCTGAAAATTTCAGGCCCATATCTATTTTACCTGTTTTCTCCAAGGTGTTTGAAGGAATTATTAAAGAACAACTCTCTTATTATCTAGAATCGAATAACCTGATGGCAGATGCCCAGTTCGGATTCAGGTGGGGCCGCGGCACAATAGATGCAGTGTACTCTTTGACTAAGCCTATCTTTGAGTCGTTTGAAAGTGGCGGTTTTGCTGGGGCCACCCTGTGTGCCCTCAGCAAGGCCTTTGACACTATTGACGCTGTTTTATTAAATTTTATTTATTTTATTTTATTAAACAAGTTAAATTTCTATTGCTGAGGTCGAGGTCCTATCTGGCCGAGCGCGGGCAGCTGGTGTCCCTAAATGGTAAAACCTCAAGTATCAGCAACCTAATCCATGGCGTTCCGCAGAGCTCTCTACTCGGGCCCCTGCTCTTCAATATAATGATTAATGACCTTCCCATGTGCCTTGGTAATGGTGTTGTTTGTTATGCAGACGACACTACAATTGTGGAAGCTAGAAATAGTGCTGTGGAGTTGAACTTGGCTTTAAATCAATCTTTAAATGTTGCATCTACCTGGTTCCGGGCAAACTATTTCTTTTTAAATCAAGAAAAACCCCAATCTATTGTTTTCAGTCTCCGAAACATTGAGCATGAGGTAACAAGCGTAAAGCTTTTAGGCATTTACCTAGACTGTAAGCTGGATTGGAACAGTCATATTTATTATGTTTATAGCCGACTGGCTAGGGTTGTGCACTAGCTTCGTAAGTTTAAGGTACTGTGTACCAAAAGAGTGGTTAAGGACTGCGTATGTGGCCTTTTTCCAGAGCATCATCACTTATGGACTGAGACTTTATGGTGCCGCTCCTGGAGTCGAGAGAGTCCTACTTCTCCAAAAAAAAGCTATACGAATAGTAGCAGGGGCCAAGCGCCTGGATCACTGTGAGCCTATCTTTAAGCAGGCTGAATCCCTCATGACAGTTTACAATCTGTTTATCTTCCAGACGCTCATCAAAACTAAGGAGGAGTTGGGCGCTCTCGAGCTCAGTAGCGACATCCACTCGTACAATACTAGAAGTAAACAGGATGTAAATGTACCTTTTGTTAGGCTTAAGAAATTACAAAGTAACTATGACATTAAACTATTCAATGTGTTATCTTGTACAGCCCGGAACCTTCCAAGTAACCATTTCAAAAGGGGCGTGGAATGTCTCCTCCTGGCCAACCCATTGTATAGTATTGACGAATTCTATAAACTAAAAAAAGAATATGTAAGTACTTATTTTTGACTGATGGTTTGCCGAGTGTACTGTTTTGTTTTCTTTTTCATTCTTTGCATGGTGAGTTAAGGTCACATTATGTATGCATTTCCTTTTTATTATATGATGTTGAAGGAATTCTTTTTATTCATAGATCTTAATGTATATTTTATAATGTATTTTATAATGTAGAATTTGATGTTTTCCAATGACTTGTATATTAATTGTAAGTTCTACAGGAAATAAATTGATCTTATGTATTATTGAATCATTGACATGTAATTTATGAGAACCAGATGAAACATAAACTATGGTTCTGCAAGTAGACATTTACGTGAACCAGACTTATAAGTTATAATTGACTTTGAATGCTGCAAGTAGACATTCCATTTATGGCCCAGCGCACACGGTGTGACTGTTTTACAACAACTGTTGCAAACCAGTTGCGTCTGGAACCAGTTTACAACTGAAACAAAACTTTCTGTCCGCACACGCTGTGACTGTTTTACAACTACAGTTGCGTGTATTATGCAATCAGTGGAGTGCAAATTTAGTGCAGTTACGTTGTTTTAAGGCCTTAAGTGCGCTTACTACGTCGGACTCAGACGGAGAAGACTTTATTAGCTATTATCAATACCGAAGACAGCGAAGGGTACTGAGAGAACATTGGGTTCACCCTTATTTGAACTTTTGAAATCGCATACAACCAGTTGCGTCGTGTGCGCCTTCCCACAATAACACATTTGCCGAGGTCTCAAAACAGTTGCACGCGCAACTGGTTTGCAACGAAAGTTTTAAAACAGTCACACCGTGTGCGCTGGGCCTATGTGAACCAAAATATACAATTGACATTGCATACTGCAAGCATAAATAAAACATATTCCAGATTTCTCATCCTAATGGAACAGGTGAAGACAATTTTACTGTTAGTTCTGTACGGTTTATGTAGAGGTCGTGTTTTGTTTACAATTTGTTTCCCGTTAATACAGTCATTTAAAACCTCGTTTAACCAAATAATACGATCTAATCATAAACAATAAATTGTCCCCTAGTTATTTAACCAAACAGTAAAGCACAAACCAAGAAATTAACCCTAAAATAATAGAAACAAAATTTCGTCTACACTAGCGCCCAGTGTGGCGTACATGAACTAGACATGAAAAACGAGCTTCAAAATTTACAATGGGATGAGAAGTCTACGCTGCAAGTTTATAATTCATTTACGAGAAACAGATGTAGCATTGACTTTAAAAAAGTATTTGATTAATATGCGACATCTACAGAAAAACGGACAGAACTAACAATAAAATTGGCTTCAGCTGTTCCATAAGGATGGAAAATCTACTAAGGGACTATGTTTTATCTGGTATTTACTCAGGGGAGGTATAGAAGAGCCTACGGTGACAGCTGTGGGCTTCTTATTAGCTGAGGGAACGCTATTGGCGTAACAATACGGGTTGTGGACATTGTCCTCGGTGGTCTAGTGGTCAGCGTGCCGGGCTGATGAGTTTTAGGTCCCGGGTTCGAATCCCGCTGGTAGCATTAACTTTTTGTCTAAGATTTTTTCATTATCAGCAAGTTTGGTTGGTTTGGTTCGGTTATGACAGTTTAATTTTATTATTAAGTCATTATAAAATTTTAATTGAGCAATTTCTAGTTTTATTTATTAAACATAATTATTTTTTCTATTACTTAACTTTTTTATATTATTTAATTATCAGCAAGTTTGGTTAGTTCGGTTAGGTTATGATAGTTTAATTTTATAATTAAAAAATTATAAAATTGAATTTGAGGCATTTATAATTTTATTTTATGAACAGAACTATTTTTGCGATTAGTAAACCTTCATTGCCAAAGTGCTCTCTACTACAGCGCTGTTCACGGAGGAATTTTGAACTAAATGCCTCATTCGTACCTCCCCTAAGTCAGACCCGTTTTATCTATGGCTCAATCATTGCAAGCAGACAACTGTTTTGTACACCTAGTTACTAAAAGTCTGCCTCAAAGCTAGTTTTCCTGCGCGCGAAATATGGAGGAAGGAACATGTACATAAAAAAAAAATGTACATGTAGATGTAAACAAAACAAACTAGGCTATTTAAATATTTATTTATACCTAAACCTAATTCTAAATAGTCCTCATCCCCTTTCTTTACCTTACCCACCCTAGCTTTCAAGTTTGTCCTGAGTAATAAGATCTCTTAGCTTTGTAAACTGGTACACTAGTTACAATTGAATGTGTTATACAATTAATGCCAGATTTTTTGTCTTCAAATGTTGTGTTTATCAAATCTGAATCAACAAGGTTTTGAGCTTCCCAGCTTGAGCTTCAGCTTAGGCCTACTCCAAGTCCTATTTAATAAACAAGTAGACTTAGGCTGCCGAGTGCAGTGCAAAGTGCAAATTTGAGTATTACACTAAGTTGATTACTATGGAAGATTTAAGTGATTTTAATTATGAAGATTTTATGTTTAACTGTCAAAAAACTATATATAAAGAAAACAATGCAAACTGTTATTCTAAATGCAACCTCAAAAGACAATACACACATCAAATGCTGCATGCTTCACAGTGTATGTAAGTATGATGCCAAAACCTAACACTAAGCATAACTTAAGTAGGCCTAGGCTATGGTAATTATTTAGATGAGGGTGACCGAGCGTTCTATAGTAAGTTATATATCATTAGAAACTAGATTTTTACCTGAAAATAATGGTGCAAAAATTTTTCTGCTGTCACAAAAACTGAATTTACTAAGATTTTTTGAAGTTTTTTTTAAATCTTTTATTAGGAACATTGAATCTGCACTACTTACAATGTTTACACTGTAAAATCGAAGTTAATAGCACAATTCACATTTTATTGATTGATTATATGCCATTTTAATGTAAATATTACCCAAATTTCCCAAATATAATATAAATTAATCTAACCTAACCTAACCTTACTTTGGTACAAAAAATCTGTCATTTTCGGCATATTGCTATCCTAAGCATGGGTTAGGTCGGGTTAGGTTATGTTAGGTAAAGTTAGGTTAGATTGAGATTATATTAAGTTATATTTAGTTTGCTAACTACACTCCTCTACCTAACTAAATATAATCTAACCTAACCCGACCTAATCCATGCTTAGGTTTACTAGCAATATGCCGAAAATGATGGTTTTTTTTTTTTGTCAAACGAAGGTTAATAATCAGTTAAGTTTGGTTAGTTAGGTGGTTAGGTTATATTATATTTAGTTTGTTAGAGGAGTGGGCTGGGCATTTTCGGCACTTTGCAGTTTATATGATTTTTCAAGTCCCTGATTTTTCTGGGTAAAAACGGCGGTTGCCGAATAAGTGCCAGAGGGTGTTTAATATGTCCTAAATTATAGTAAAAACACATTAAAAGTATTAATAATGAACGGTATCAGCATTCCGACACATACTTTCTCCCATAAGTTTGTCAACAACCTTTATCATGTGCAAGCGGTGAGAGTAAATGTACGGAAATGGGATTTGAACAATTTTGTTCAGAATTTATAGGACTGTTTAACATACTAAATTTTTATCAAAATTGTTCGAGCCAATTTTGGGAAAATCCGATTTTTCCGTTATTTTATGGGGTTTTTATGGGAAAATAACATAATTTACAATAACTTTTGAACCATAATTTTTACAGAAATGGGATTTGTACCATTTTGCTCAGAATATAAAGGACTATAAATACTAAATTTTTATGAAAATCGTTCGGGCCATTTTTGGGAAAATCCTAACTTAGGCCTATTTTCCGTTATTTTATGGGGTTTTGAATGGAAAAATCCCCATTAAAAATAAAAATTTCTAAAAAATGAAAAAAATTATCAAAATTGTAAGGACCATAACATACTATGTTAACCCTCCGAGGGTCACGCGTCAAAAAATCGACGCACAACACACTTTGTGTAGGGTCACGCGTCTAGTTTAAGACGCACAAACATCGTTTACGGCGAAGGCTTTATGACTGACTGAATCGGATTGAACTGGATCGAGTTAGGTATCGTTCTTTCCGTAATATTCTAAGCTTTCTCCAGAGGTCTGTTTCTAAGCGCTATTCATTTTAGTTCCGAAAATATTGTAGCAGACAGCTGACGTGCGTGTATTTGTAAACAGCTAGGTTCCCCTGGACCGATGACTGATGTGTTTTATTACGTTTAACTTATCATTTTTTTAGTGTTAAAAATCAAAAGTAGTGATATACGTGGTGCATTATAAGAAGATTTAAGTGGTTTTGAAGTGCTGGTTGATGATCCTGAAGAAGTAGGTAGTGATATTGATGTAAATTATCAGCCAGATTCCTAGCTATGGTTAGGCTATGCATTCTTAGCTAAACGCTATATACTGAAATCAGTTTTTTGCCCATAACTTATTTATTTGCAAATCTACTTCCTTATATTATTATATATTTGTAATCCTCATAAAATTTAGAACAAAGTGGCTATTTTGAAATATTTATAGGCCTATAATTTATACAATTTCATTGAGCGCGAACTTATTTTTTTTTTGAAAATTTTCAAAATTATATTTTTTTTACCTAAAATTTTTTTTGGAAAAAATGTTCCTTATGTTTTATATATAATATTGAAGCCCATGATTTTCCAAACAAAATGGTATATAGAACATTAGAATTAACATTGTTTTAAGCTTCTCAGATCCGTTTTAATAAAACCTTGCAAATGCGCCAAAAATAGGTGGACATTAAGGCCTAAACTATGGACACTCGGAGGGTTAAATCAAAACCGGATTTTTTTCTAAAATCCTATTTTTTGTTATTTTATGGGAAAATAACATAATTTACCATAACTTTTGAACCGTAATTTTTACAGAAATGGGATTTGTACTATTTTGTTCAGAATTTAAAGGGCCACAACATACTACTAAATTTGTATCAAAATCGTTCGGGCCATTTTTGAGAAAATCCGATTTTTCCGGTTTTTTATGGGTTTTTATGGGAAAATCCCCATTAAAAATCAAAATTTAAAAAAAATGAAAAAAACCCCGGGAGATACCATGGATTAGAACCTACGTACCAAATTTCATCGAAATCGGACCACAGGTGTAGTCTCTAAACTTAGCTCTGTACACATCCAGACACACAGACACACACACACACACACACAGACATCACTTCGAAAAACGAATATGTCCACTCAAAACTCAAACTCGAAAATTTTGACAAAAACAATACTTTTCTCCATATACTTACTATGGTATAGGGGGAGAAAGTAAAAATGCCGATTTTTAACTTGGCACTTTTTCCGATTTTCAGGGTGAAATAGGCGTTTGCCCCAAAAGTGCCAAATTTAAAAAGTGTTCAAAATATTAGGCCAAATAATGAGAAAACCCATTTTTTCAAAATACGTTAGAAGCCCCTAAAGTAAACAAATACCGCCTATGCATTACTTTGCAAATTACTTAAGTCGGTACTTTCCTGAAAGGGGACATTCATTATTATCAATGATTTCTTTTCCACATATTGATTTTTTTTTCTATTAGATATATTGATAAATTGAAACATATCAGTTAACAACTACGATAAGGATACAGTAACTTAAATAAATATTGTTCAGTATCAAAAAACAATTAAAAAATATTATAAATGAAATAAAACTGTTCCAAACTAACCTAACAAACCAAACTTGCTGTAACATTTCAACATTCCGTTTGATAAGCCTATTCCCCATGCCTTTTCTGTTATCAAAAGGAATTTTGAAACGGTTATTTAGCCTACAGCAAGTTTGGTTAGTTATGTTAGGTTAGTTTAGAATAGTTTCATTTCCTAATCCAATATAGGCCTATGGGCTATTACTTTTACCTAAACAAGGTTAGTTCTTAATTTGTAATTTAAATGCGTTTGAACAGAAGGAATACAGATCGTAAAGTAAAACAAAAATATCGATACATTGAAAAGAAATCATTGATAATAATTAATGTTCCCTTTAACAGGAAAGTACCCTTTCGTATTATACGGAGGCCACTTATTTTACAGCGTGCTGCGGCGGTTAGGTTAGGTTGGGTTATCATAAGCATGTTTGTAGGACTTTCCTCGTTTCGTTAAATCGAACGATACCATATGAGTCATGAAGAATTTATGATAAGGGTCAATCCAGGATGTCAAGTGATCAAATACCAATTACCTCACCATTTTTTACAGGATTGATCTTTTTACATTAGATACATCTATGCAAAAGAAGCTTAAATATAAAAAAAAATTTATCTCATGTCGTTTTTTTGTTATTTTATTTTAAAGTTCCTAAAAAAGCGTGGTTTTGCGCTTTAAAGGATTTACGTTTTTATTTAATATCTCAAGAAAGAATAAAGATAGAAAGGTAAAACAAAAACCATTCTTTTCAGGATTAAATTAGCTTTAATTTGATATACAACATAACAGTATTTCAAGTCAAGGACTCCATAAATATTTTTGATGTAATTATTTTGACAGAAATCAACATTAAGGAACAGTTTTCTGAGCTTTTAAAACTTTTCTGTTTGGATAATTTTAATCAAATTAGCAATCTTAGAAATGAAAATAAAGGTGGGGGGATTTTAATTTTGTAAAAAATATTTTTCAGGTAATGGAGATAAATTGCAACAGCAGTAATTTTGAAAGCATGATGATAAGTGTGAAGAATGATGTTTTTAATGTTATTATAATATCTGTGTACAGACCACCATCCAGCAATGAATTAAAGTTTATTGAGGATTTAGATAAAATAATTCAGACAACAAAAGGAGATGTGATTATAATGGGTGACATAAACATAAATATAAAAAATGAAACAAATAACTATGTTCAAGACTACAAAAATATTATGGTCCTAAATGGTTTCAAATCACTCATTAATGATTATACTAGGGAGGAAGTTAGAGCTGAAAAATTAAGCCAGACATGCATAGACCATGCATATCTTTAGAACAAGGAAGCTCAAAGTTCACTCAGATAGTGAGATATCCTACAGATAAAGATAGAGGACCACTATCCTTGCGTTCTCAATGTCCAGCCTGACAACTCCTGCCCAGCTTATCACACAAACAAACCACAGCAAATTATGGGAGTATCCGACTTGCGCAGAACTACCTGCCACGGCCTTTTTAAACATCCGACTTGCGCTGGCACTTATATCGGCCCTCTAGGGGTACATCCGACTTGCGCTGCCTATTCATCGACAAAATCAGTGAAGCGTTAAAGAACAGGATAAATAACACGCTATTGCTAGTATAGTGAAAATTGATAAACACAGTTTATCACAGTTTGGCGCGTAATATGCACTGCCCACTCCCCTGAAGATGGAAAATAGTGTGGACAAATTTGGCAAAGGGGTTAAGAGTCTTCTTTTGTCACGCTGTTGTTACAGTGTAGAAGACTTTTTAAGAAATCAATGATTTTTAGTTTTTAGATTTTATCCATAAGAATTATTGTTTTTATTTGTAAGAGACATTTTGTTGACGCTATTATGCAGTTTATAACGACTGTCAAAAATAAAGATATTTGAGTTTGAGTTTACGTTCTAAGAATCCTGGGAAATTTACGTCTCACTCTACAGCCAAATATTAATGTAGC